AACTCCTATGCCTCCAATCCCCACTTCTCTAGAGCCTGAGGCCTCAAACCCCAAGCCCTAAAGCCCTAATCCATAAACCTTAAACCCTAAATCCCCAAACCCTAAGAACGCCTATCAACCCGCAAGACAGAACCCTAAACCCAAGGTCCGAACGCTGGCCCCGAACATTTTCCCCACCGGTTTCCTGGGTCCTACTTGCGCGTCTCCAGTTGGACTTCCAAGGTTTTATTGTGTATGTAACAGGCATATGACTGTATCTATATACCTAACTTAAATACCTGTATATCTACAATTACATGTTCCTACAGTGGGAAGCCCCGCCAGCCGAGTCTTTGCATGTAAACCCTAAACCCTGAACCCCAAACCCCAAACCCTGAACCCTAAACCCCAAACCCTAAACCCCAAACCCTAAAACCCTAAACCCTAAGCCCCAAACCCTCCGTCTCCTTGCATGTAAACCCTGAACCCCAAACCCTAAACCCTAAACCCTAAACCCCAAACCCTCAACCCTAAACCCCAAACCCTAAACCCTAAACCCCAAACCCTCCATCTCCTTGCATGTAGGATTCCGTAAGGCGGATGTGCATGTCATCCTCCGGTTCGGCCACAGCTCTCCTTTCTTTGCCAGAACGAACGTCTTAGGGTTTAGGGTTTAAGGGTTTAGGATTTAGGGTTTAGGGTTTTAGGGTTTAGGGTTTTAGGGTTTTAGGGTTTAGCGGCACTTAGGATCCCTACGGAGGGTTAAGCTTTAGGAACCTATAGCAGGAGTAAAAGGGAATTTTAAAAGGGGCAAGGGTGTAAGGTCCAAGCTAAGTCCCAAGCAGCTTTCTTTGCCGGAAAGTCTTAGGGTTTAGGGTTTAGGGCTTAGGGTTCGAGGTTTAGGGCTTGGGGTGCGTGCGATATCCCTTAATCAGGGAATATAGGGTGTAGGGTTCAGTGTTTAAGGCGCAGTATCCCTTAAGTGGAGAATATATAGGGTCTAGGGGTCATGGTTTAGGGCGCGATATCCCTTAATTAGGGACTATAGGGTTTAGGGCCCAAAAGCCGTCTGTTAGGGAATATACCACAAATTGTACTAGGGTCCCTAAAAGGATTTAAGGCATACTCCCTTATTAATGGATGTTGGACTTTCTGGGCTGTTAAAGGGTCCACGTAATTCACAAGCTTAATTCCTTTTTAAGCGGCTTATAGGAAGCACACAATCTCTGAGGTTCCAAGCACCCAATAGTTGCCAAATCTGCTTCAGGGTTATAGCAGGGTCACAAAGGGTTTAGAGAGGGCTCGCCTACAGCTCTTTTTTTTCCTTTGTGAGGGGTTTCTGAGTTTAGGGCTTGATGGGTCTTAGGGTTTAGGGGGTGAAGTTTAGGAGTTCGTGGTTTAGGTGGCAATAGGTTTAGGGGATTAGGCTTTGAAGTTTACGGGTTTGGGGTTCTGGGGGGTTGTGAACGGAGCGTGGGTTTGGAGCTTGAGGTTTTGGGCGGTGTAGAGCTTGAGGTCCACGGCTTAATTAGGCCTAAGGTTTACGGGGGCATAGGCTTTGAGTGTCAACGTGGTCTCGGGTTCGAGGTTTCATGGATTGCTGGGGCTTAGGGCCTTGAAACATAATAGTGTTCTTAGCTGCTTTCATGGAAGTGTGTACATCTTTTACCTAATTTCGAGGCCCAGGTATTGGTAGAGTGATCTTGGTTTAAGAGTTTCTGAGCATAGGGTTCAGGGAGGTAGGATTTGAGGTTAAGAAGCCAGAAACGCGTTCAAGTTGATTCAATGGTTGCCCAGGCTCAGGGTGTTCAAACGCTCCTGCAAATGGTCACAAGAGTCGGACACTGCGGCAAAGGGCAGCAAGCACAAGAGGCCCATGGGTAAATGGATGGCAAACATCTCGAAGAGTACGCAGGACGCCTCACGGATCATCCTGGGTTGCTGTCAATGAACTGAACTTGAATTGTATTACCACATCGGAGAGTAAGATGGAAAGCCCATGGCCCATGGGGAATGAAATGGAAACTGCTGTTATCCAGGCATTTTATAAGGTGAGGAGTTTACAGAGTGGATTGACTATAATTGTGGACATATGGAGTAAATACTACGGTTTCCTCCTAACAAGAACAGGGCTGGGCCCCCAAGCTATAACTTGGGTTATAAGTAACTTATACTGAGCTAACTGTAGTTACAAAGGCTCTAAATTTGAGTTTTGGGACTGATAATAAGCAGTTATCCAACCAGGGGAGCACCACCCTGCAACTCAAGTGCCATCACAAAAACCTAGCATCTTGTCCTCTTCTGCCAGGATCAGCCAAGTACACATGTGCGAAAACCCGTAGGCCCAGTGGCACACAGCAAGGGCGAGCGTTGGTCCGCTGGTTGACCGAAGGCAGGGCAATATTTGGGTGGCAAGACGGACTACATAGAGGTGGGCCATCTTCATCTGGTTCACATCAATGCGGTCCTTCTGGCCCCGCTTTAATTCCTTTTGCTCCTTCTTGAAGATGGTACACACTTTGCCCGTCAGTGCTTCAATATGCGCCTGGGCCGTGCGCGCAAGCACAGCGGAGCTTAGCACAAACTTGAAGAAGAGGATGTAATACAAGCCGAAAGTCCTCAGTCGGTTTAGGGTTTATAGGGTAAGCCTAATACCTAAACCGCGTGTGAGATTGCCCAAAGATCCGAAGTTTCTCACTGCCTGGAAAGATGGCATCCTGACGAGAATGTCCCAAGTAAGACAATATTCTCCTCATAAAGTACTACTTTCAACATGAGAATGTCATGTCACTCAATGATGAGGACTATCCCTAAGGCTCCACGTACAAAAACATTGGATGCTTGGGATTTGTGGCACTAGTGACTGAGCACAGGCTTGGCTAAGTATATGACTATTGCGCACGCGGATGAAGTAAGTTTCTAGTGGGGAAGCACTAGGCCGGCGGCCCGATGTAACGGTGAAATAATGCTCGCGTGACCATTCTGTGCTCCTGCGGCTTATGTAGGCCAACTATAAGGTATTCTAGGGATATTTGTTTACTACGCAGGTTCTGTCCATGAGCCGTCTGCATCTGCATCTATCTATTAGGTGTTGTCCTAATGGGTTTACGCACTAACCTTGTCCATTCTCTATGCTGGAGGGCTGGAGGTTGAACAGGTTCAGGTTTAGGGGGTTTGGGGTTTAGGGTTTACGGAAATGGTAGTGTCCATCCTAACCGAAGAGATGGAGATGCGGGTGCGTCTGGATGCACTAGGAATACTAAAAAGAAAGGTTAATATCATAATGAGTGGGTGGAGCATCCCTAAACCCTAAACCCTAAACCGCGGTGAACAATCCTTTGAGAGGCCGGCCTCTACCATGGTGGATTCCGTCCAGTCTAATCCCCTCCCCCTAATATTAAAGCTCCCCCCCAATGTGGTATATTATGGTATATTGGGAATATGTAGTGGGGGGAGGGGGGGGTTCAGGAGGTCGAATATAAAGGGGAAGGGGATTAGTCTGGGTCTGCCCGCTCTATTGAGCCCCCTGGTAAACCCATACTGACCAGAAAATATAAATAAAGAAGCAGATTGATGTCCAATGGTTTCAGGGCGACAAACAAGGCGGCCAGGAAAGGTAATGTGATTTTGTAAATGAAGCTGAGACGGGGTGATGACGCGTTGGTTCGGGCCCATCCTGCCAAAAATTGATTGGAGCAGGACTACTACGTGGATACCCTAGCCACCGAAAACTCTCCGAGAATTGCTCCAATGTAAAATGCCACTCAGGCAAGAGTCAGATTGGGAATCACTCCGTGCATTTGCAGCAGCCTTTTGCCAGGGTCTGCAAAAACAGCCCGTAGCACGCGACTGACCTCATGCGCAACTATCCAATAAGTGCGCAGAAGGGCTGGCACGAAGGGTACGAAGGCCCATGTGCGCAGGTGAGCCCCCATAGCGTCATCAATTGCCACGTTCGCGGTCTTATCCCCAGCCTTTACCTTGGCTGTCCCTAAAGGTCCAAGGACCCAAAAAATAAGGGGGCTTAGGGCCATTTTACCATTCATATTATAGTATTTGGGCCCTAAAACCCAACTATTAAGGTCCTTGGACCCTTAGGGTGTTTCTTGAATGGGCTTAGCGTGATGGACCTCGGGAAAGCCCAAAACATGGGCGAATGGAGGGTAAACGTGGGGGCCTCCATGCATTGGGGGATCAATCTTGAAAACTACCTGGCACCCTAGGTAGTTTGAGAAACCGTTTTCAGGATTTCAGAATTGAAGGTCAAAGGCTGAATTTGGATCGACCAGCTCCCCCAATATGAGCTCTCCATCCCACCCCCTAACAATAGATGCTCAGTTAACAGGGAGTCTTCAACAAATTAATGTCGACCCCTGGAAAATAAACTCCCTCCTTTTGACGGCCTTGATATTAGCATCCCTATTATAATCCCTATTAACGAGCGGGGGTTATTCATAAAGGGTTTTGCGTTAGGAGGCATCAGGGTGTTATTACTAGGAGCCGGGGCTTAAAGTGCTTTTTGGGGGGACTCTATAATGCGGACTATAGTATATTGGGATCTATATTGGCGTCCCCCCGTTCCGGCACATTACCATTTGGTTCGAGGGTTAGGGGCCCACATCCTCAAAACATCCCCGAATAAAAAAACAAGGTCCTTTGCAGCGCAGTCACGATCTCCAATTCGGCTGGGCATGTCGCACCAGGTGCAACCAGTTCATTTGTCTGCACGGCATGCAACCCCATCACAACTGCACCGAACGCACCGGCGTAGAAGCACCGCTTCGCAATTTCAAACACCACCTGAGTGCCGTCTTGGCTTTGGGTTCGAGCTTCCAGGTGCAAGGCAGAAATCTCTACTAAGCAATGAAGTAGTGGCTTGAGGAACTTCGCGTCCAGAATCCCTAAGCGGAAAGAAAGGCTACACATAAACAGTATCTGGCCACAATAGCTGGATCCTGTCCCGGTCCTGCTATCAGAACTTGCCCGAGGCCAGCCAAGCGAATTGCACCCGAAGCCAGAGCAAAAATCAGTAACCCCAGCCATGTGGGCCATGCCTCCCAAAAAGTCCAAGAAACATGTTGAGGTTTCAAGTCACTCTTTGGGAATGTTTATGAAACATGCTGTAGTTGAAGGTCCTAGTAATTGAAATACCATCAGAGTAAAGGGGAATTGTCCACGTTGCGGTACTCTTTGTTCTACATTACACAGAGGCCATGAAGATGTGGGATATCCGAGAACTTGCAATGCATTGGACAGCCCATGGCGCTTAAACCGGGTCACACACATAATTACTCTGGAGGCCCAGGTATACGCTACAGTGCATAGTTGGATGCCTTGCCTCCGTGATGGTAACAAAGTTGGACTTCCGGAGCTGCGGCACGGGCTGCATGTCGATTTGCAATGTTTCCTCTCAAACTTCCCTGGAAGCCCAGCCAAAGATGGAATTTCAATTTTTTGTTGAGGAGCTTATATGTGTAATAAGCAAAAACTCTTAACGTCGAACCGTGCCCTAAATTCCCAAACCCTAGAACCGTCTGACTCCAGACGTCCCTACTGTGGATGCTTTAAACCCTGCATGACCAAAGTATATTAAAATAGTCCCTAAACCCCAAACCCTAAACCCTGATGTTCCAGATATCGCTCTTTGGGGCATGCAGGATTTCTTGTTTCTACCGTAGTCCTCCATCAGCTGTTGGCTAAGGTCTAGGTCGTCAGACCTCAATGAGAGTTCTTGTATCGTGCCCAGCCCCCGAAAATCAGGATTAAAGGAGGCTTAATGTAGGAGTTGGATAAAGAAAGATAGGCTTTACAAGGCTTAGGGGGTTGTAAGGGTTTTGGTAATCGCGACCTCTAGAATTCGGACAGCATAAATATCATATGACTCTCGAAAGGTTGGTACCGTAGGGTAGGGTGACGAAAAAAGTGAATAGCCAGGATAGTCGGGTTATGTGGCTCAGAAACTTACAGGGGTTCATGTAGACCCTTAGTCATAAACCCCTCTCTTTAATAGAGATTACAATAGGGATCCTAATCTTAAGGCCCTTAAAAGGAGGGGGGCTATTAATTACGGGTTTGCATTATCAAGGTATGATTGCTAAGACTGACTAGCATCCTCTGACTCTCCAAATTAGGCGACACCTGGATTCGACATGCTTTCTACTCACTGCGCTTCAGTATATGAGGGGTGGCAATGCCATCCCCCCCGAGGCAAGCCGTCCCAGATTTATAACGCTATTAGTTAGGCGATATGAAGCCCTGTAACTGTATAGCACTTATAACATCAGCTCCTGAAACCCTACGGACGGTACCTTCGGCCCTAGACCCTAAACCGGGGGGACAGTATTCTGATCCCCTTGTATCTGCCTGGTAAGCGCACAATCTTTAAGCCTAGTTGAAGGTTCATAGGACTTAGTAGGGTTGAGGGTTTAGAGTTTAGGGCTTACAGGGTGGTGCCCCCTAGCTACACAACTGCCTCAAAAGGCCCCCTATACGTTACTCCTTACCCAGGTCATAACTAAGGGGCCCCACCCTGTGGTGCAACACTAATGGTAATCCCCCTAACTTCCAAGTATAACTAGGGCTATAATAGGCCCACTCATAAGTAGGTACTAAGTCCTATTCACCTGAGACCCCTACCTGGACCATCAATGTAGGTAGAATAATAGCCTTCTTGACTGTCGTTAGGGGGTTTCTGGACCATTCTTTTACAGACCTTTGAGGTCCAAACAACTTCCTAAACCTTGCCCCCTACCCCAAAAAACTAAACCCCAAAACCCCTTACCCAACAAACCCTAAACCCCTAAACCCTCAAACAAGTCAGCACAGAGACTGGAATCGACCTCGTTCATCGTGGCTCTCCCCTGGGACTTCCTGGGCTGTTGTTGAGGAGTTTAGGGTTTATAGGGTTTAGGGCTTAGCTCAACTACCTGTCAGGACTTTTGTCTCCATAGGGATTACTGTTTAGGGTGTAGGGTTTAGGGTTTACATATATCTACATGTATAGGGTCATACAGGGTTTAAGTAAAGTAAGTTCTCATTCAAAGGTTTGGACAGGGACACATGGGGACTATATATGAGTAGCATGACCCGAACAATGGAGAATCCAACGGCAAGGAACATAGAAACAAAAAAACAATGGAAACTTTGGGGGTAGATACTATATGTATACAAAAGAATATATATATATATATATGCGCTTGATGATATATACATATATACATATATAGGGTTCTGGTTTGAGTTGCAATAATGGAATTCTTAGGGTTTAGGGCTTAAGTTGCGATCATGAAGTTGCAATTATAGAGGCTATGCATCAGGGCTGAAGTTGCGAGAACGGACTTGCCATTACAAGGCTTTAGGCGGGTTTAACTTGCAGTAGCGGAATAACGACTATACGTGTTCAGGGTTTAGGGTTAGATGGTGGAATTACCATCATAAGGGCTTAGGGCTTAAGCTGCGGAACATGAACATGCCAAAGGGCTTAGGCTTGTGCTTACGTAACAATGGTGGAGTTACCATTCAAGTGTTTTTGAAACTACGGAAAATGCCGTTTAATTACCATTGTGAAGGCCAAGGGTTAGGGCTTCAGTTTCAATCATGGAGAATCAGGTAAGCAAGTGGACAATCAAATGGACATCGGCATGGAACTGAGGAACTTGAGTTAAAGTCCATTCTTTACGTTGTATGCTTACATGTATATATGTATATGTACATATGTATACAAATATCCCCCGACACCATACACCCTAAATCCTTCAACCAGAACCCTCCAAATTCAGGTTCCTCAGCAGAGAAGCCATGCACTTACTCTATTAGATACATCAACCAACATATGCACACATGTCCTGTGTCATGGCAGAACCAGAGCCCTAAACCCATAGTTAGGGCTTAGGGTTTAGGGTCAATCCCCCACCCAGGAATGGGTACTACAACGGACTATGATAAGGCCCTATTGACTCCATATTAAGGAGCTATTACCACAGGGGGGATTGACCTGAATAGCAAGCTAATTTGGTGGTTTCCATAAATAGGGTGCCCCTACATTTACAGCCCCGAAATACGAAGATCCTACTTAGCTTGAGTTTCTTATCAGCACATTATAATGTTGTCTTCGGATTACAAAAGGGGGTCGTATTAGAGCGCTTTTGAGCCCGAACGGAATAATAAAAAGGGGTCGTATTAGAGCAAAATCCGAGCTGAACGGATTGATAATAGCCCAGGAACGGAATAGTGCGTGCTGGNNAAGCTACATACAGTTTTAATTGCGCACATATTGAAGCCTTGCATTTCAGATTGCATTCCCTATGATATTTCATATGAAGCCTTTCTTTAGAAGCCAATTCCATGCAGATGCTGATAGTACCGCTCGCCAGAAACCATCGATTTCTTATACGAACGCTTATTCGAACAGCCCAGGTAATCATGTCTGCTAAGAGGTAGTATACCGAGCGCACAGGAACGAAATAATAAGTATTAAAAAGGGTTCATAATAATC